CAATCCCTCATCCCCCCCATCTTTCCCACAGTGGGGCTGGAAGGCCCCTGACCCAAGGTGGGCAGGGGATGAGTTTGCCTTTTTGACCCTCCTTGTTGGGCAGCAGGGGGTCTCCACTTGGCACCCAGGGTGGGGGATGGATACAAAGTCAGGGGGCTCCTGGGCGAGCGATGAACTCCAGGTTGATGGGCTTGTCGGCCACCAGGACAATGCGGGACACGGACTTCACCTCCACACCGCGGGGGTCTGGCCGCACCTCAAATGCCTGGATGATCTGTGGGGAGAAAGGGGATGGCAGTGCCTTGGGGACTCCCTGGACCTCCATCCACGCTCATGGTGAGCCACCAGGAATGGGGGGGCCCTACTTACCCTGGCAAGGGCCAGGTGCATCTCCAGCTCAGCAATGCGGCGTCCGACACAGGCGCGAACCCCATAGCCAAATGGAATGGAGCTGAAGGGGTAATGGGGGGAGCCATGTCCCCGGAGCCAGCGCTGGGGCAGGAACCGCTCAGGCTCAGGGAAATAGGTCTCATCGTGGGACATCGCATAGTGCGCCAGGACAAAGAGGGTCTGCAGGGCAAGACGTGGGGGTTAATGACCCCACCCAGCCCCACTGAGCACAGCAGGCGTCTCCATGGCACGGCCTCCACTCACATTCTTGGGGAAGAGGTAGTCTCCAATGACAATGTCCTTCTCATAGAAGACTCTGGCGTTGGTGGGCACCACAGGGTAGACCCTGGGATATGAGGAGAGTCAGTGGGGGAGCAGGACCCATCTGGAGATCCCAGAGGGAGAAAGATGCAGGCAGGACAAGAGGGGAGCACTCCTGCCGCTCAGCATCTCCCCCAGAAGGAGGTGGATGTATGTGGCCCTGATGAACTGAAATCCAGCCCTTCCCCCTGGTGAAGGGGCTGGTGACTAGGATGCCAGGGCAGGGGCAAGGCTGGGCTATACCTCAGTGTCTCCTTGATAACGGCCCGAAGCATTGGCAACTTGGGGATATCCTCGGCGCTAGGAAACCGGTCGGCAGGCACAACAGCTTTCAGCTCCTGGTACAGGGTCTCCTGGATGCCTGGGTCCCGGGAGAGGTGGTACAAGGCCCAGGAGAGCGTGTTGGAGGTCTGGGGGAGTGGAGTGCCAAGGGGAGTGAGGCAGACGGGGCCGGTACCTGAGCAGCCTTGTGCCAAGCACAGCACCAGTACAGCACCAGAGAGCCCTTGCTCCGGTGCACAGGGAAGGCCAGGGAGAGGGGCAACAAGCACAGGGGAAAGCGAGGGCAAGGCAGGGAGCAGAGCAGCGGACAGGGTCTGTACTGACCGATCTCTGAGAGTTGGCCTGTGTGGGGCATCAGCATCCCAGCCACCAGGCCTGAGCTCACAGGGGCTGGGCTGAGTGTGGCCCCGTGGCTCCCCCTGGGCATGGAGCTCAGCAGGGATCCCCTGGCAGAAGCTGCCCAGCTCTCACCGTGTCCACACCAGCGAGCAGCAGCTCAGCCACACTGCCATAGACCTCATCCAGGCTGAGTCTGCCACTGGCGAGCAGGTAGCTCAAGTAGCCGGACACTTCCTTGCCACGCTCCACTTGTCCCTCTAGCTCTTTCATCTTTCGGTCAATCAGGGTCTTGCCTGTAGGGACAGAGCAGGACCCAGTGCTGACAGAGTGAGCGCTGCCAAAAGGACATGTGGCCAGGGACTGCCCCACTATTGAGGGTCCTTAGGGAGTCCAATCCCACCATGCCAGGCCCCCTTGTCACTGCTCACCGAAGGCAAAGATGGTGTCCCAGCTGTCCAAGTAGCGGTCCCAGAAGGGCAGCACCTTGCGGCTCCATCGGGGCAGAACGGTGGCGAAGATGGAGTTCTTGAACATGAGGTTGATGGAGTCAATGAAGTGCTGGGTCTCAGCAGGGACCTGCTGCTTCAGGCACCCGATGCGGGTCTCAAAGAGGATATAGGAGATCCCTGTGGAGAACAGATGGCATCCAGACCCCTGCAGCGATGGGAAGAGTGGGGCAGGGCAGGGGTGAGGAAGAGAACCCTCCTACCTTCCAGGGCAAAGCGATAGAGCAGGTTGGCCACGTCCCCCACCAGCACTCCTGAGGGGCTACGGCTCCGCTCCTCCCGCAGCCGCACCATCCGGTCTGACACCACCCCCCCAAAG